CTTCAAACTCTCACCAAACAACCTTCTCGAAGTCCACCAGGCTTCAGAACACCTGGTCTCCAGAACCAGTACCCATATTTTAGGTCTTGTTAAGCCAGCATTCCACTTCCAGGTACCAAATTTTGTTCTGCTTATCTATCCTTACACCCCCAAGCCCACTGGCATAACAGAATCATTTGATTTTGCTCATGATTTTGGGAGTCAGGAATCTGGGGAAGGCTCTGCTGGGCCCCATGTGGTCTCTCACACAGTCACATGTTGAATGGGGCTTTAATCATCTGAAAACCCCACAGGGCTGACGGTAAATACGATCTGTCCCTGGGAGCCAGCCCAGCCTCCTGACTAGAACCCTGTCTGTGGCTCCTCCATGTGGCTTGGGTTTCTCACAGGATGGTGACAGAGTTCTGGGCTTGTCTGCATTGATTTCCTTTCCTGTTAACTTCCTGTCTTCTCAGCTAATAGGAATAATTATTCATGAGGAAGATTAAAAAACAAAATTAAAGCAAACTTTAGACCCTACCTCCAAGTACTTCCTGTGTAAATACAGCAATGACACAACTCTTTCAACTGGGGATCCATTTGAAAAGAAAAAAATAAAAATTTATTCAAAGTTAAAACTGTACTTTATTGTGTTCATGTTGTTAGTACAAGGTGATGGCAAGAACAATTTGCAAAATAAATCTTCCTATTCTTTTTTCTGGTTAGTACAATAATTGAACAGCACCCATCAGTGAAAGAGGACAAAAGAGGGTCATTATCATAAACGTTAGTGTGATCTTCCAGGAGATTTGATTACTTTCTCCCCAGACTCACTTCACCCACTTGAACAGAGGTTCTGCCTTTCATCAGTCGAATATCCAGTGCCTTTGTTGCATCCAAGTGTTACCTCGCCGGCCATATTCCACATAAAGGGCAGAGAACAGGTGTTTTCTTGGCAGAGTTTGTAAGAAACATGGCTCTTTCATGGTAACACTTCTTATGAAAAGAACACAGATGAAAGATAAGCCTAAAAAGGTCCTGATCTAACAAAATGGCAAAAGATGCTGACCTGCTTACAATATATCAGTGAAACTGACTTAGCTTCATCTTCCCTCAGGTCAAGGTATATATTCTTTCATGTTAAAAAAAATTCTTAACACTCCTAGTAGCCTCTGCCAAACATTTGCCTTCAGTCTTCTTTTAGTCCAACACTGGAAGAGTTAAATTTATCTTAGAAACAAGCTAGTAAGACTACTTGTAGTTCAGGGATGAGGAATATATATATTAAATTTTGTGAGTCATTCATTTTAATCAGTGGCATCAGGATTAATTTAGAGGAATCACAAAATTAATCCAATATTGAACACAGTTTTTCACTGAGGAACATTTATCTTCCAATTTCCTTGTGTGAATTAAGGCACGTACAAATTGAATCTGGAGATCTTGAACAAAAAAGGCAAATTTCTCATCTTGCTCCAGATGGAATGACAATATGTACTCCCACCTGTTCCCTCTGCTGTGCTGACAGGGAAGAGAGTGGCAGTGGCTTTCCTAGCTCCAGAGAAGGACAGAAGACATTTCTCTGCGGATTCTACAGACTGACTCTCAGATACAGTGGAGAGACCTACTCGATTATGCCATAAGGCCTCCTAATGGAAAGATTTTCGGCACAGTAAGAGATCCTTATGAAGTGCCTATGTGCATTCAAACTTTAGTGACCAAAAATTATGGGTTGCTATAGAAACAATATAGCTCATTACATTTTAAAAGCAATACATTAAAACTCAGAACAACGAGATTATACAATGGTAGCAAAGGAAATACTGCCTGGTATTATCACACAGCATGACTGGCATAGCGGGATATTATTTCATTGATGCCTCATAATAGCCCTGCAAAGTATGTAGTGCTTCCATGCTTCACAGGTGAGAAAAGTGAGATTAAGAAAGCAGCTCAAGTCCAACACATAAAATGAGGAAATCCTAGATCTCCTTGACTCCAAATCTTTTTTCTCTCAAGCAACAAATTTCAAGTTAATGACAAAAAATAAAAACAAGAGAAAATGTACAGACAAAGATGTGTCCCAAAGTTAGAGAAGCTAAAATTCTACTAGTTGTATAATAAGACAATTCATTGTGTTGTAATATTCAATTTAGATATTTATGTATTATGCTACTAATACATGAATGTTTAAAAGTTAAAATACACTGAAGAAGCAACAAAGGAGTCTTCTGAAGACCTGAGTACATTATTTGGTTTTGTGATTCATACTCCTTTATTCTCTCCTTTGCTATCTTCCTGCCTTATTTTTTTTGAATTCTCCAATTCTGTGTAATTTTCAGATGGTGTTACTCAGACAATCTTTTGGAAATTACTTTCAGTTGCTATTCTCAAGGTATTTTTCTTTTTGGAAGGTAAAACTGAAGAACAGAGGAGAGTATTTTCCATTATTCCTTAGGCAAGTACAGCCTTTTTTCCTCTGAGACATTCAATCCACACTAACTCTAAGCATTCATTATTGTTACTAGAAGCTACTACCTTACTGTTACAGTCCCCACCCCAATAATAATAATACAGGAAAGTTTCCTACGTCAACATCTAAGGGAGAGGACTTCAGTCCCTGGGGAAAACTGTGATGCAGCCACATGCAACGGTGAAATCCTTTTACAGAAAATATTCACACCAGTTCCCTTGGTAGCTTTATTCTGAACTGAAGTATAGTTGATTTACAGTGTAATACTAGTATAGCATAGTGAGTCATTTTTTTACAGATTATTTCCATTTAAAGTTATTACAAGATAATGTGTATAATTCCCTGTGCTGTACAATATATCCTTGTTGCTTATCTATTTTGCACATAGTAGTTTGTATTTCTTAATCCCATCCCCCTATCTTGCCCTTCCTCCTGTCCCTTTCCTCACGGGTAACCACTGGTTTGTTTTCTAAACCTGTGAGTCTGTTTCTGTTTTTCTATCTACTTTCATGTTTCATCTTTTAGATTCCTCATATAAGTGATTTCATACAGTATTTGTCTTTCTCTGTCTGACTTATTCCACTTCATAATATTTTCTAGGTCCATCCACACAGCTGCAAATGGCAGATTTCATTATTTTTATGGCTAAGTAATATTCCATTGTCTGTATACACAACATCTTCTTTATCCGTTCGTCTGTTGATGGACATTTCGGTTGCTTCCATATCTTGGCTATGGTAAATAATGCCGCTATGAATTGTGGGTGCATGTATCTTTTTAAATTATTATGTTCTTTCTTTTTTTTTCCAGATATATACCCAGAGTGGAATTGTTGGATCATATGGTAGCTCTATAATAGTTTTTTTGAGGAAACTTCATACAGGGGTGGGATTTGATCCCAAGTTGCTAGAGCAGAAGCCCTAAGGGTCAGGCCTGAGCTGGCTCTGCTCCCTTTAAGTGTGTGTTCTCCTCTCTCTCTGACCCAGGTCCCTTGCCCCAGACGGGGAGAGGGCTGAAGTAAGTGGGGTCCGTGCAGGATCTCAGCTCGTGTTGTCCACAGACAGAGGTCCAAGCTGTCTCTGACGTGCTGCCAGTGTAGGCACCAGTAATTATTTCCCTTGTTTCCATTCAGACACACCCCCTGGTGCAAGTCCCCTTTGTCCCTCACAGTTGGTCACTGTGCTCAGCCTTCACCATCCCTGTCCTGTTGCTGAGCCACAGCACAGGGCAGGGGGGGCCCATGTGTACTCTTGGCTGTTGAATAGAGGAAGCTGTGGTGGAGCAGCTGCCATCGGAAATTTGGGCTGCTTCCCACACACTGCATGAGTAAGCTCAACAGTGGCTGCCACCATCCCACCCAGGTTCTGCTCAGGGACTAGACTGTCTCTGTATCCCACAGTGGAGTCTTCTCCTCAGTCAGGGCTGCCCCAGATCCAGGATATGGAACAAGCTGGGCTGGAGATTTCACTTGGCTCAGACTGGGGTGCATGCCAAGGCAGTCACAGGAAACCCAACAGCCACTAAAATAGACCTCTCTCCGTCCTGCCTCAGGGGCAAACCAGCCCATGCATGCTCCTCATGACTGGAGTCCAGGCTTCCCACAGCTCTTCTGTTATTCCCAGCAGCCTTCCAACCAGACGAGGAGGCTCTTTCTCTGTGTAGGACCCCAAGACTGAGGCACTCATTCTGTGGCTCTCACTGCTCACTCCCCAGGGTGAGTGCCCATCCATGTGATCTCCCTTGTCTTCTGAGGTCTTCTCCCAGGAGTGCAGGTCCTGACCTGATCGCTTCTCTTCCCTTCCTACCCAAGTTCGTGTGTAGCTTTCTTACTGCCTTGGTTGTCCCGGAGTCCTTCTGCCAGTTTCTGGCTAGTTTTCAATGAGAATTGTTCTATATTTAGATGTATTGTTGATTTGTTTGTGGGAGGAGGTGAGCTCCATGTCCTCTTACTTCACCATCTTGATAAACCCCCTTTGAATGTTTAAAAAAAAATCCACATAAAGAATATCTATATTTATTCTTTTTATTTTCACTTCCATAGAAAAATCTTACTCTAACAATGAACAACAGGATATCTCTTTCTGGTAGGCAAAGACAATAGGACTTCTTATATATTAATGAATTATCTGGTGTGATTCTTAATAATTGTTCCTTCCTTTTCATTTGTTTATAAAAAGAAAAGGTTATATATTACTTAAATTTATCTAGGCCCTAGTTCTTATTAGTAAATAGCTACATGAACCTTATTAGCTGCTTAATAGAATTTCAAAGGTAAAAATGATTAAAAGGAAACTATAAGGTTTTTTCTTCCTTCTGTATATTTGTATTTACCTAAGTAATTTAGGATTGCCTTTGAGTAAACTATTTTGTGTTTATTTTTCATTGTATCTGCTACTTAATGAGTGCTGGTAAGGTACATTCCCTCCAGAAAAGACAATAATCAATAAGAAGGCTTTTGGGAGAAAACGATTAATGTTAAGATGTAACATTGAATTAATTATTCCATTAGCAAATGTTAAATCTCTTCTACACCTGTGTATTTACTCACCCAAAAGTCCTAAAATAATGTAGCCAATAATGAACAGTATGAAGACTATGCAGCAGAGCACATCTGTACAACTCCTAGAGACAAAAAGAAATAAAGAATTAAAAGGGTCCAAAATGACTTACTGTTTACTGAAAAAGAAATCTATATAGGAAGAGAGGAAAAGATAATAACAATGATACACCATTTTATACCCAATAATTCTGAAAGGTAGATCAGATGGATTTCTGCAATCAAAGACTAGCAGCAAAGGAGTGGTTATAGCTCCATGATTAAAGAAGTTCTCCCCAGAGCTGTCAGTATTTATTCTCTCTAGATTCTTTATTTGTAACATGTTTTTAGAGATTAGAGTACACCAACATCAACTATTTTATTTGAAATTGTAATTTAAGCTATTTGATTTTATGGTTTTCCTCTTCCTGCCTCCCCAATACATGATATAATAAAAAAAAAAATTAGCCGTTTCCATTCCTCCCTTTCTCCATTATTCTTCTAGATGCACATTTTAAAGGTACTATTATTAAATAAAGGATTGACTACATAAACTTGCTATGGGGAGTAGAGTTGCAACTATTCGAACAACAATGTCCATAATGCATTGAAAATAAAATGACTTTAAATTAATTCTTCCAGCTATTCTGTACACTAGCTATCTTGAAATTAGGTCTAGAGGAAATTTGGCTCATAGAGACTTGGTGATTTTCTAAGGGATCACAAGTCAAACAATATCCAGCAGGGATATTCAGATTTTCAACTAAAGTATTTCCTATTCCCAATATTAAATTTGATTCAGCTAGAAGGTCAAAGCTATGTCTTGAAAGTAAGAAACAATACAATCACTCTTCGCTTGAAACTTAATGAAGAATCTATCATTAAAGAAAAATATCAACTTATTTGACAGGATTAAAAGGTGCACTTGAGAATTTTCATAGCAAAAACTTCTTCCTGAGGGCATGCAAACATGCTGCGATCTTTTAGCACAAGCAGGCTGAAGTTACACACTAGTTTTAGTGGTAGTAGTAGTAATAACAATGAATAACAATTGTGCAGTAACAGACAGGCAGTACATCACACACTGATAAAGCCCTGTTGTATGTTTACTGCTCTCACATACAGAACTTTGTGAGTTTCCTGCCTGGAGTTTTTTAGGGGTAGTAAGGTAAGTTGAGTTCTGTCAGGTTCATGAGAGAGGGCAGTTACAGAGGCAGTCGAGTATCTAGGTCTCCAATGCTAGCCTTCTTCCTTTAGCGGTTATTTTAATATGATTACAACTTTCTAGGAAGTCTCAAATCCGCCATATCTAACATCCACATCTATTCTCATTACTCTGCCGCACAATAGGAAGTGGATCAATCATAGAGAAAGCGAATCACAGTCAATCTAGAAACATACTATCATTTGTTTAAATCCAGTTTCAACTCTGGAATTTTAAATTTCATTTGGATTTAAGAATGATGAGAACAAAAAAAAGAGAAGAAGAAGAAAGAAGAAAGAAAGGAAGAAGAAGAAAAGAAAAGAAGAAGAAGAAGGAGAAGAAGGAGAAGAGAA